CTTAGAGTTTCAATATAGGAGTCGGAAGCGAGAGATTAGAGAATAGAAAGTAAGGAACTGTCTGAAAGTTTGTCCCTTCAAAGCCAACTTCGTCTCTGACCTCAAGCCTTCCCTTTGACCCGCATATCCTATCTGTACCCGAACCTGCGGGAAAGCCTCCTGAAGAAGGAAAAGCCACCATACCGCCTTGGCAAACAAGACGGAACCGAAGCTATGTGCATAGTCTTACCCCTGCCCAATCTACTCAAAGGATTAGAGATCATGAACGAGAAAATCTCAATGAAAGACCGGAACTTACCTACGGGCTGACCTACGATCACCTATTCTTTTTTGAGTTTTTTCATGCAATGGGACTTTCGAGCAGAGACCATGGGCTGGAGCAGATGAAAAAGCAGAAGAATCCAAGCCGATTTACACCAAGGGGTAAGGGGCAGGAAGGAGCCGCTTAACAAGGCACTTCCATTTCTCGCTCATCCGCTCGCAGCTAAAAAGCTATCCTTTGCTTTGATCCATTACTGGTTCCGCAGGCTCAAGCTTACTTCATTTTCCATCTCTCTATTTTTCTTTCTATTTTCTCGCCCAGCTAACCAGCAAGCTCTAACCCGGCCATCTATCTTTTGATTAACCATCCTCTCCTCTACTTATTCTCCCTTAATCTTCTTCCGAACTCTCTTTCTCTTTCCAGAGATGGAGGATCTGATAAACCAATGAGGGAACGGGGGGAAGAACAACACGGGTTTCACTGACTCACGCCCCCGAAGAAATGCAAACTGCGAGCAACATGCTCTTGCCTCATACATTCTATCCTGAGAATAGTAGCGGGCACTAAAAAGAACCCCCCATAAGTATTTAAATCCCCATTCAGAGACAAAGTTGACTTGGAAGGGACAAAGATACTTACCCCGTTCGATCCGTGCTTTTAACTGTGGCAGCGGGCAAATAGTCCTTACGTGCGGGTACTGGCCCCCTCTGGGGGGCGATATGCTCTATTTTTTTGGCGGGGCGATTCCGTTTAGTAAGATAGATGCGGATAAGGACTCCAACCTTGCTAACAAGTGAGCGAGTAGGTGGAGTTCCCCTTAGCCTCGACCAACATTCCATGCCTGGGGTTCTCCGATCTGCTTTCTTATTCGTCTCTTCGGATGAAACAAGGTTAGCATTTCTGATTGTTCGTTAATAAGATTCACAAGTAAAAGCCCCTTAATTGCCCGGCTATGGCTGCTGCGGGGGATACGGGAGTACCCAACCCCGCTTGCTAGACATTTCTTTCGCTATCCTATCAAAAAGGCTGCTCGATCAAGCCGCTAAGAAAAAAAAGAACAGGTCTCTTAGAGCCTTTCTTCTTCGGCTTCGTTTCTTGCTTGAGGTGGGGGACCAAAGTGGCCGTTAGGCATCTCCGTGGAATGGAATCTCGTTCTCTACCCTTCTATTCGTGAGGCGGCGGGGCATAGGCTGAGTTAAACATGACCCATTGAAAGGGAAAAGCCATATCATATGGACAGGAGTGAGCTTCCCCCTGGCCTAACTCTTGCTGATGAACCTTACTCGCTTGCTAACTCCCTTCCCTGTAAGACCTCTGCTTGAGACTATCCTAGGATGAGAGCTGGAAGGGATAGGATTTCTGCCTTCCACGGCTAAGACGGAATTCAATTTCGAGATGCGAAGAATAGCCGTCTTTCGCCTGGGAACGGACATGAAAAAGGAATTTCTAGAATCATATGAATGTGCACCCTATGATTTCGTCAACCCTCTTCCTGATACTAGGGACATTGGCTTCTTTCTTACCTATAATATTACCAACTGCTGTTATTCCGCTAAAGCCAGGAGAGCGTCTAATGAAAGTGGAAAAATCGTCTGGCCCGAAAATCGTCTTCTTTCTGTCCTCCGAAAAAGAAAAAGGAGTTAGAATATTGACATTATCAATTGCCCACGTGAAAGCTTTAAAGCAAGGTTCGCAAGACAGTCAGAATCAGAAAGAGAGGTATGCCTTAAAAGAACCGTTATCCCACAGGGTTTATCCCGCTAAACAGCTCTTAGTCCGCACTTCTATCGTGCATTCTAAGACCATGCCAGCCTAAAAGAAGAAGAGTCACTCACTCCTCCGCCAAGAAGTAAAGCAACCCCTGCTGTTCTCATTGCTGCGTCGAAAGGGGTAGGGAGGGTATCTAGGGCTAAGCCCGGCAAAATGCACATAACATAATCGGATTCTTTTTCTGTATAGTAGGAGAGGTCTATCAATGACTTAAAAACGACGTTGCCTACTCACCACCTTGCTCTTATGAAAGAGGACATTCGTGAACAACCCCTAGATTCGGATTAGTGAAAATCGAAAACGCTAGATTAACGAACAGCGGTTATTAGCCTAAGAGCGCTTACTGTAAGACCGTTTCACAGCAGCGGATGTGGTTATTCCTCGAACAGCGCTTATTGCAAAGAGCCAAAGAGCCTTTTCTTCCTAAGGAGATATTCATTAAACCATTAACAGTCGAACCGACCGGAGAGAGATTGCTTCCATCACAGACCGGAGAAGGTCACTAGCCTCAAAGCCGATAAGACCCTAAGACGCGACAACAACAAAAGGCATTTTCTTTCAAAAAAGCCTAACTTGAAAACTCTTATCTACGCTATTTAGCCCGACTCCTTTCTTTCCCCATGTGGAATCAGTCCCTGCTTTGCTTTGGTTTGGCTCTTTCTGTAACAACCTACCGGGCAAGATAAGGAGGAACGAACGTCAGAAGTCCCACAGCATATTCTGGTCCATCTGCAGCCTATGTCCATCAATCCTCCTCTCTTGCGGGGTAAACGCTTTCTAAAGATGGGCATTCAATCGGAATTGATAGAGTTATAGGAAAAATAAACCTTGCCCTTGGCTTGGGTACTTTAGATAGCTATTCCGAGAAAGACGCTAGGCCCCTCGCCCTATAACGCTTCTCGGCTTTCAAGAAATTCCTACTTATGATTCCGAACTCATATCCGTAGATGCCTTATTCAGTCTTAGAGCTAAGAGTTAAGCGCTTAAATCAATTCAAGCCGTTTGGTTGCTAAATGCAAAAAAAAGAAATTTCCATTTTCCACTTAACATGAGTTAAATACAGTTAGACCTAAACGACATTCATTAGAACATAAAAATTCTCTTTTCTTGTCGTCTGTTTTGCTTCAGTTTTTAAAATAGAAGCTAATCATTTTTGTTGAATTTCTGCACCAGATCCAAGTTATATAAAGTTTGTGTTCAACGCCAAAAACTTTCCATCGGAGGATTACTATGACTATATAATTGTAGGAGGTGGCACTGCCGGTTGTCCGTTGGCCGCCACCTTGTCACAGTCCTATCGAGTTCTTGTGCTTGAACGAGGTGGCGTTCCCTATGGCAACCCCAATTTGATGACCCAAGAAAGATTCTTGGCCACACTCACTGAGGTTGATACATTTGACTCCCATGCCCAAGCCGAGGATGGGGTCCCCAACGCCAGAGGACACATTCTTGGTGGCAACAGTTCCATAAATGCCGGCTTTTACAGCGGAGCAGACCAGCAATTCTATCAGAAATCGGGTGGGACCTGAGAGTTGTGAACGAGCCGTACGAGTGGGTTGAGAAGGCAGTTGTCTTTAGGCCGGAGCTTAGGAACTGGCAATCATTGGTTAGAGCCGATGTTCCTTTCCTTGGCAGTCGAGCTCCTTCGGATCCTTTTATCTTGGGCATCTCACTTGTAATGCAAAGCATTCTTTTCGATCTTGTACCCACGGCACTGAACACCAACCCAATCTCGATGATAAAAGAAAACTACAAGCAACTACATCAATCAACTACAGCTTGAGAGCGGATACAATGCACCACTGATTTTTTATATAGAGTTATTTCTCAAACCTATCTTTACTTGATACTTGATGGCACGCTCGCTCTGTAGGACTCGAATTCAATCACTGAAACCGATTAAACGCATGTTAAGAGCATACTCGCGGATGAGCAGGTCAACATGCCGATCGGTTCTTAGGGGGAGTTCCCTACTCCGCTAACGCTATGATCCGGTCAAGGCGAATGGATGTAGTGAAGTTACCATTTACTACTTAAGATATTGTGTTAGCAAGCAAGACGTGACTTCTCGCTGATGATGTTTAGTCAGGTCTAGTGCTCTCTCTCTATGAAAATAGTCGTCTGTCTCACTTCCCGAAGAGAGGGAAACCACTCCTTCTCCGTTCTTCTGCGATAAGAATGTTCCCAACGACTCGTTTGAGGCTGATATGTATAGCCGTAGTGGTTCTTCCGGGCCGAGGAGGCATTAGCACTGGTGCCTCAGAGAGGTCATCCTTGATTCGGGCTAGCTCTCGTCCTATACAAACTCTTCATCCTCTGTGTTGTCTTGGGCGGAATGGATCATCAGAGGGTGGAAATTTCCTCCAATCGGAATACTTGCTTTTCCATAGGGATTGCATGCCCACTTTAGGGATTAATCACTTCACGGGAGAGAACACGAGGGATGAGCGACGATCGACCTACCTAAGTTTTTACTAGTCATCATCGGCTTACCCGCTTGCTGAAACCTCCCTCCATAGCCGATTGAATGCTTGGATAGCCACTTAACTGTTCACTATACTTCCTGTATCCCCCCCCCTCCCCTCCCTATCTCTCTCGACCCATTCACCGGATTATGTTGGGCTGGAATGCCTTCATTCCCATCCCATCTTTTATGATCTCTGGGCCTTCCCACTATGAGATATTCCCAGTGCAGAAGCATATTCATGCAGAATACTCTTCTACTTCTTTCCCCGGGTAGGAATTCCTAGAGGAGGATATAAGGTCATTTTGTCATCAGTGGAGGAGCATGCGTGATACAGATACTCCTCTATGCGAATGTTCTGGCTTTCAAAAGACGAGTAAGGGACGGGGAGGGGGAAGGGGGAGTTTCGGGAACAAAGCCCCGGATTTAAAAGTGCAGCCCTACCCTATATATAGTATCTTTTCCCTATCTAAGCTATATCAACATAGCCAACTAGAAAACTCATCCGCTTGTCAATTAATTCTTGGTGTAATACTCAAATGATTGGTGTCAGAATTTTTCACTGATCAGGTGTGATCAGTCTCATCCGTGTAAGAATTAGGAATTCCTCTTCCAACCTGTCCCGGAATGGGCGTTATGGCAAAGAATAAGAAGAAAACTAAAGAAGAAATTTGTCCAATAGTAACAAATGGTGCCTCCACAGGTTGACATCCGATCCAACCTAGTAGTAAGCAATCCGCCAAAAGCAACCAAAATATTCCTTGGTGAATAGGGCGAAAACTTGAACTACGCACATACATACTTTTAAAAAAAGGTAAAGCCAACAGACATATAAAAACTGGTGCTATTGCGGCTACACCTCCCGATTTGTCAGGTATACTACGAAGAAGGGCATGGATCGGTAGGAAATACCATTCCGGCACAATATGAGGCGGGGGGGGCATCGGATTAGCAGGTATATAATTGTCGGGATGCCCCAAAACATTAGGAGCATAAAAAATCCAAATGGAAGAAAAGATAGCAAAAGCTACCCAACCTACTAGATCCTTTACATAAAAATAAGGGTAAAAAGAAATTTTATCCATCTCTGAATGTACACCCAATGGATTATTTGATCCATATTGATGCAATGCGGCCAGATGAAGAAGACTGGCGCCTACTAAAATAAAGGGGAGTAAATGATGAAGACTAAAAAAACGATTTAAGGTGGCATTGTCCACGGAGAAACCGCCCCAAAGCCAAGTCACTATGGTATCCCCTACTACAGGTATGGCGCTAGCTAAGCTTGTAATTACTGTAGCTCCCCAAAAGCTCATCTGACCCCAAGGTAGTACGTATCCTGTAAAAGCTGTCACAATCATTAATAGGAAGATTACAACTCCGAGACACCGAACAAATTCCCTAGGACTGCTATAACTCGCATGATATAGACCGCGAAAAATATGAAGGTGAACCACAATGAGAAACATACTTGCCCCATTAGCATGCATATAACGGAGCAACCAACCCCCTTCAACATCTCTCATAATGTGTTCTACGCTGTTGAAAGCTAGATCCACATGAGGTGTGTAATGCATAGCTAAAAAAACGCCAGTCACTATCTGAATGACTAAACAAATACCAGCTAACGGACCGAACCCCCACCAATAACTAAGATTGCTCGGGGTTGGATAATCTATCAAATGCTGATTAAGTGTGGAGGATATTGGTTGTTTAAGAAGAGAGAATCGTTGGTTCCTTATAGTCATTTATCTTTCCTATCGTGACAACTCTAGTTCCCCCGCCTTTTTAGCGTTCTGGGGCCCTACTTACTAAAAAAAAATTGTTATATATTTATTTGGAAGATTCTTCTTTCCTCTGCGGTGAAAGAGGGCAAAGGTGTGTGGGAGAAAGAATTCTAAAAGGAGAGAAGATTTCGTCCACCAAGCGGGAGAGAGTGCGACCCCTAAGCAATTGGAGGTTCTCGCCGGGGTCCATATCATCTGAATACTTTTCCTGTTCCATTAGCATAGCTAAATTTTAATAGGATGACTCAGCGTCAGGAAAAGCAAGCCCCCCTTGCCTTGATTGAATTTGGCTTCGCTGCGCCCTGAATCAATCAAAAAGCTTATTGATTTAATCCATCCCATTTCATTTGGGCGAGAGGGAGGCTGTGAGTCACCTGGGGTACGGATTTGTCGGTTGATTGATTCTCGAAATCACCTCTTGAGAAAAAAAAGGGGCCTTCGGGTCCCGACCCACAAATGAATAGGAAGCGGGGCGAGGGGCTTTCATTAAAGGGAGAAAAGAGGGGGGGGGCTTTGTTCTGGGGGGGCCGCCTTGCGCAGCTTTAGAAGGGAGAGAATTTCAGGCGGTTAAAGTCACTCTCTCCAACCTTTTCTATCTATCCGGGCGAGAGAAAGTAAATATGAGATTTGCGTTGGTTTTTCCAACGAAAAAAAGCACTTTTTTGTCTTTATCATTCGGAAGGCTCAGTCCCACACTCTGACTTCAATGATGGGAACAACCTCTGCACCCCGGCGCTCTAATGAACAACAGTTCTCCGCCTTACTATATTTAGAATAGTGGTCGATCCCTCGGGAGTTACATTCGTAACTTAATGTTATGTTCACGCGGTGATATTCTATCTTTCCAGGAGTACTACCCTGTACGTAGTCTATGTCTGGGGAGCATACTTTACAGGAGATAGACACAGGCGGTAGAGAGGTCTCCCACTTCGATTCCCGCCCCGTTAGCATCTCCGATCCGAGATAAGGGATTACTCCGTTAGGTCTTTTCGGTCCGGAGCCGGCCGGTAATGGACCTACTTACCTGTGGACCAGCCGCAGAGCTAACCCTTGCTCTATTGGTTTGGTGGTTGCTACCAAGACGATTTCTTTATGCCCATCGAAATGCTAATCCACGAAAAACGATACGAGAAATTCGAAAGAACTCATATACGGAACGAGGGCGGCCCGTGGAAATACATCGGTTTCTTACTCGTGCAAAGGAACTATTTCTTGGCAACTTGGACAACTTATAACGATGTTTGTCCCGCATATCACTAGGAAATCGGGATCTTTACAAAAGGCTTTATAAAGCTTTCGTCTCAATTCATATTTAGCCGCGAGCAATCTACGTTTGTGATCTCGTATATTTCGCTTCTCCGACATCTTATGTCGCGTTAAGGCTCCACCTCATCTTTTTGCAAAAAGCCGCTCCACGGTGGTAAAGTCTCATCTTGTGTGTTGGCCGAAGTGACAATAGTCACATTGAACCCTCGAATATGTTCGAAGATCTCGAAATGATCTTCCAGTTCCGGGGAGAATTCGCAAAACTCCGTTTCCATCGAGAATTGAATGAAGTTTTCCCGTATTTCGACCGGGGAATCTAACAGAGACATTACTGTCGAGATTCTGACCGAAAAATTAGACATTCCATGCCCTCGGAGAGTGCTTTGTCGTGCTAGGTCACTGACATATCCTTTGTCTTTATTTGACCCCAAGAATGGATTGGATCGAAACGACTTTCCTGTCGAACCCCTTTTTGTCTGTATGAATTTCTGACCGCGCGGAATCTCCATAGCCAATTTTCCATTTTTGATTATGAAATCATAGGGTGCCTTTGGTAAAACTCTTATTTCACACGATCCAGGAACTTCCATAACGTTGGCGTGATTCAGTTTGAGCAACGGATCCTGACGTGATACATCTTCGTAATGAAAATAGAGTGGAAACATGA